GTATCTACTCCTAGAATGCATAAGTTCAATGAGAAACTTTTGTCCTACTCACAACTGTAACAAGAATCCATCAAATAAGAAATGTAAAAGAAAAAGTTAAAGACAACAGAGGTAAACATTATATATATATGTATATATATATATATATATACACACACAATAAAAATAGCAGTAATTTCTAAGCTGAACAGGAATAGGAAAAGAGAATGAGACCATACTCAGGTATGCATAGAGGCTTGACAGAGGCAATGCCTACATAGGGTCTTATATATTCTGAAAAAGAAGCTTTAGCTGCACAATGGGTAACGTGCTGGGCTACTTAGCAACAAGGTCATCAGTTGACCCTACTAGCTGCTCGGCAGGGGAAAAACTGAGGCTTTCTGCTCCTGCAAAGATTCACAGCCTTGGAAAATCACGGGCAGTTCTACTCTGCCCTAGAGGGTTCACGGTGAACTGGAAGAGACTTGATGGCAGTGAGTGAGCTGTATGCTGCAAATATGTCCATGTATCTAGTAAAGTTCGGACTCAGAACCACTCTCAGGAGACAACAAGGGCAATTGGCACAACATTGTTCACAAAGACAGTATTTGACATCCTACTTTGGTGAGTAGCAACTGGGGTCTTAAAAGCTTGTGAGCAATCATCTAAGGTGCATTTTTTTCTCTCTCCCCATCTAGAGGAAAGCAGAGAAAAAGAAAAAAAAAAGACAACATGGGAACACAGTTCAACTAATGAACCAAGCTGCCTCAGCCTCATCAACTCTGAGACCAGAAGTAGATGATGCCTGCCTATCACTATGGCCTACTCTGAAAGGGCATTATAAAATAATAAATAGTGTGTGTGTAATATGGAACAAAAATCAAGAGCACAAAAAAGACCAGGTTTACTGGTCTGACAGAGATTAGTAGAAGCCCTGGGACTATGGCCCTTAGCCACCCTTCAGCACTGGAAGTGAATTCACCCGTGGCTCATCTTTTACCTAAGTAATAACATCAGAGAAGTAAGCACTTCTTAGAGCAATCAACCATTTGAAATCAAAAGGGCAGCATTTTCCCAAGGGCAAAGTTCAGAAGGGAGGAAAGGTTAGGAAAGGAGGAATGGAAACAGGAAACACAGGGAGGAAGTGGGGTAAATGATGAGATATCAAGGGGTTGGCAATGAATGACATGAAATAAAATGTGTATGAATTGTTGAACAGTCTGAAATCCTTCACCTAATTCCCAATATCACTTTTTTTAAAGTAGAAGACCAGAGTTAAACACATTTTTTGGTCTTTCTCCCATGATTGGCTTCAAGATTACTAATCAGCTATTCCCATTACATCTTCATTCAGGGCAGGAAGAGGAAAGAGAAAATACACTTCTCCCTCCATAGTAATTTTAGGATCATTTAATAAAGTACAAAAAAAACTGGAATATTTTTCCTACCACAATGAAACACCTAATTATTCTTCGAGGGTAGCAAGGGCTCTTCTATGAGGTACTTGTTGTGAAGCCTTACCCTATCCACTCCACAGTCCTGTTGTTACCCCATCAGATGTTATTTTCGTTCCCCACTCAACATTTAAAAGGAACATGATTGGAGTCCCATGAGGATGGCCAAACTGTTGTTTTGAAGTGATGTAATTCAAAGAACGCAGAATTATTTGGGAAGGGTTCGAGATATGGAAACACTGCTTTCAGAAGTGTACAGACCTAAATGGAGAATATGTCTAGAAAAAAGTTTCATATTTTGATACTTTTGTTTAATAAAGGTTATTAGTTTATAGCATACTTTTTGTCTGACCCTCATATATGGAACTGTCACGTACTCATTTGCCACCTTTGTAATCAAAGCTGTCTTTGACACCCAGGCACAACAACTGCAGCACAGTTGTCTCCTTAGGTCAGCCCCTGCGCTCCTGTTGGGGTTTTGTGGGTCAGAGATGGTGAATTTCTGCCCAGGAATGAACCTACACAAACACTAAACAACAAAAATAATAGGGCAGAATAATCCACGTGATGAAAAGTAAACACAACATGCAATCAAGAATTGAAGACTACAACAAACAAGTTTTTTTCCCCATGAAGAATACTTCAAAAGATAAAGTATCAAACTGCTTTCCGTGCTTTTCCTTCCCTGGCCTTTTAGTTTGGGTACACCTTACATGTGAGGTTGCTCTGAGTTGGGATCAGCTCAGTGGCAATGGGGTTGGTGTGGTTTAGTTCCCTGCTGGTGACCTAAACACTTCCTGTCTACCTTTTGGGGAAACTGGCACTGATTTGGGGTCAGGGTGTAGAGCCCCTCTGGTTCAGCGCTGTGTCGACAGTTGCATGCACCTAGTCTTCAGCTGGCACTGAGTTCTCATTTGTTGAGTGAATGGTGGCCGAGCTTTCCCCTTCCAAAACCTACCAGGTGGCTATCTGTGGACTGCTGCAGAACTTGATTAGTGAGACAGCCGGGTTACCTGGCATGGCCAGTCTTCCCTGGGAGAGAGTGATGTCTGTGACTGTTGAGGAGAGTTCCTCTTGCTTACCCCTACAAACACACTCTGACCTCAGCCACTTGTTGCAGCTGCAGCAGGAATTCTTTCAGTTGGGTGAACTAGTTTTGAGTCCTCCGGCTGGAGGCTCCAAAGGATGAGAACCTATCGAAAGGCTACCGGGGTACTTCAGGGAGTTTTAACAAGAGGTGGCAGAGGCAGAATAGGCATTCGAGCAAGCTCTTGGGACTACAGTTGCAGTGGTTCTGCCTCTCCTGCTAGTAAATGCTCAACGCCTGGTTGAAACCTGAGGGATGAGAATCCTCCCTGCACCCTGGGAGAACCATCACAAAGACTGCCTAATGGGACCCAGGCATTTTCATTAAGGGCTCCTGATTACTGACACCCAACTCCTGCTGCTACCCCCATGAGGTTCGGGCCGCCACTTCCCAGGTGGAAGAGCGATGTTCCATGCTAGCCAAGGAGAACGCTGCTCTGCAAATCATCAGGCAGCACAGACCCACAAGCTGGGCAGTATGTACTAGGCCCAGGTCAGCCAGCACCAGGGCTCACAGTACTGAATTGTCTCTCTAGAACACACTTCTTGACCCTCGAGCACTGATGACACACTTCTCCTTTGACCCTGTCCTGGGGCTGCACTTACTGGGTTCAGCATCTGCACCTGCTTCCTAACATTCTCCAGCCATACCCCAGACCGGAGTCACTTGTTCTGGACTGTTTCTTCATGAGCCCCGTGGTGCTGCTGCCCAGGAGCCCCAGCCTCTCACCATTCTGGCCGCTCCAGACCAAAGCTGCTGCCCTTCCACTCCCACCTGCCGCACGGTGTCAGGATGCACCTAAGTCCTAGGGTGTCAGCGTGTTGGGACTGTGGCCTCGAGGAGAAGTGCCAACTGTGGGGATGGTCTTATTGCGCCTTGTCCCTCGTACTGGACTTGAAAACAAGAGTTGAATTCTACACCCCGCCCCTTGCCCCCAAGCTACTCAGCAGTATCTGTAGGGTCAGAAGACTGGTTGCCAAAGCTTCACCCACCTCCGGCCTTGGGAGTTCAAGGAGGCGACAAGGAGCAGGCACAGACTGGACAGAACACAGATAAGATTGGTAAAGGGACATGCCTTTGCAGGCCTCGTAGCCCTGGGAACAATGTCCCTCCGGTCTGGAGTCTCGGCATGTCCCTGGGGGAACTGGAGCTCCATTCTTTAGGCGGTGGGCAGAGTTTGGGGTGGGAGGGCCGACTGGGACAGGGCTGGGGACAGGCTCCCCCGCAGAAACGATGGCTTATTACAGGTCTTGATTGTACATTTCGGAACGCAGCCTCCGAGGTGGCATTTCGCCACCTCAGAAATGTTTCTTGACTTGGCAGCCGCTCAGCCCCCAGCCCTGCAGTGCTGGGGAAAGCTTGCACGGATGAAGGGAAAGACAGGAGAGGGGAGGAGACGATGAAGGGGGTCAGAGCGGCGATTGGAGCCCAGAACTGGAAGCGCCTTAGAGAGACTGCGCGGTCCCCGCCCCCCTTCCCGCCAGCCTCAATGAATTAGAGCTGTGTTTCCCAAACTTGCCTGACCATAAGACTCCTCTGAGGCCCTAGTTAAAGATACAGGTTCCGGAGTAACTCCCTTCGAGATTCCGATTCCGTCGGTCTGCGGGTGGCGCCGGGGAATCGGTGATTTTGAACACGCTCCTCCACGTGATTCTCCTGAACAAGCAAGTTTGGGAAAGACTGAATTAAAGGAAACGGGGCCTGGCTGCAGAAGTGGCCTCCGCTAGGGGGCTGCGGCGGGAGGACTCCCGGGGGCGTCGCCTGCTTCCGCCGCTTCCTTCAGTTCAAGTCCCTTTTGGGTCCAGCAGCCAGTCCGGCCGCGCTCCCACAGGCCGGGTGGGGGACACCCCCAGGCTGC